AGACGTGAAGAGAAAGAGAGACAGGCAAGAAAAAAAGAAACGGAAGTTGGTCGCGTTGAATCCGGCAGCAACTAAGTACGTAGGAATATATACCCTCTGCATGAAGAGAGCTGGCAGTTTGTGCGAGGCGTTTGATGTGACATATCACATGACCGGATGCGGGGGTAGGTAAATTGGTCAGCAATTGCTGACGCCACTGAGCTGCAACCTATCGGCCAGTCACTCGGTCACTCATCAACCTTGTTCACCTGTTGACGATTCTTGTGGCTGGAATTCTCGCCTATCTCGACCGAAATCTTAGAAATCATTCGCGTCAACGTAAAACGCGCTACGTCACCTCCCGCAATTTCAGGGAACGCATGATGAATCGTTCATTGTGATGTTGATGAATCGACCTATCATCACAGTCATTCTGTCCAAGATTATATAAATTTTTAACGCTGCCTGAATGTAATTAATTCATACGACTATTCGTTATGCAATAATTTCGAAAAAAAATCAGAGGCTACAAGAGATACATTAATTCCAGTAATAATTTAATTTGCTAACTCGATAATGGTGTAGCGAAACGTGACATGCATACAAATCAACGAGATTTATTTCCCACGTTTATCGCATTAAATTAAATCCCCGTGCAAAAGGGGGCTAAATTTGGCTGTTATATTTCACGTCAGTTAAATAAATTTTGCGGATGATTAATTGAAAGAATGGAAATGTAATGGCTGTAATTCATGCAGCCGTAGATTGCATTAAATAAAAACGTGCAAATATGGAGGAGGGCGGATAGAACGAACAAATATACAATGAACGTAAACGCGATACCGTGTGAAGCACTGATAGGTCTAACATCACGCTATCAGATATTTTGAGAAATGCAGTAGTATGTCATAATTTTGATTTATCAGACGTAACTGTTATAAACGAATCGTAGGAAATATTCATGAGATATGCACTAGATATGCAAAATAAATATTCGCTCGATTCACAATTTTGGCATACAAGCGTACTTTTTTCTTTTGAGAATCGTTATTCGTGTTTCGATAGTAGATTTATGTTAGCAGAGCTAAGAGAAAAATTTATGGTAACTGTGACTATAATTACATGATATTATAATGATAATATTATGTTTTTTACTGCTATGTTAATAATAATAATTATATGTACAGTTATATCAAAATAATTATCTTTATAATTATTGTCATAAAAATGATAGCAATTACAATAATTTTGTAGTTATTTTCAATACCAATATAATTTTTTATAGAATTATACAGACACATAATATTTATTATTATTATTACTAACATTATAGCAGTAATAATCATAATTATAGTAGATGTTGTAGTCACGAATATCGAAAACTTGGTTTTTAGTGCAAATTGTTATACACAACATACAATCTGCGAGATTATTTTATAGTTTTTTTTATGATTTATCGCGTATGTCAATTAATTATCACAATGTCTGCTATGAGATTACGGTCCACTCAGCGCAGCAAAGTCAGTGGAATCAAATAGAAGAATAAATGAAGAAAAAACACGCTTAGATCTTCGACCCCATACATCACGATTCCTATTACGCCAGCAGCTCACGGCGTTGTCTAATTGTGGCAATTTAATAATGTTTTAATGAACACTTACGACTACTGCCACATGATCGCGGGTTTACCCGCCAGCCCAGTTGTTTTCTTCAGTATTCAAATACGGAAAATTGTCCCTATTTCTTTCGGAAATGTGATACGCAGTTTGCACGCGGACTTGTCAGTATAAACAAATGTAGCCTTTTTGAGAAGCTTTGCAATAGAACTGAAGTATAAAATCGTAAGCAGAATGTCAACAGTAATATTAGGAGTAAAAAATAAGTCATGCTTCATTTATATTTAATATCTCTATATATGTAAAATAATTTTTTAATTCGAGTTCAAAAAAAGTTCAGAAAAATTTACATTATCAAAAATTATTTCATATTACATGAATTACATCGGGAACTTAATCTCTATAAAGCCATATAAGTAACTTGTAAAGCAGAATTAATAAAAATCATATTTTAAACATGTTTTAAACTTTTTTTTTTATAATGTTGTTTAAAGTATATATGAAGCATTTTAAAAAACATAAAAAAAAACACAATGTTCTATTCTTGTAAAAAATAATGTTTTTTTTAAATCTTCTGTGTATAACCTTTGGAAATTGTCCATTCGATGACTTTTCATTTACGTTTTTATCAGCCCAGGATGTTTGCACTTCTACATGTGGACAAAAAGTTAAAAAAAAATATTATCTTTTGCCTGTTATTAAGCATATTTGTGCCAGTTTATTGAAATGTGTGTGCACGCTAATTTACGATAATTGGGTAGTTTTGTTATATATCTATATGCTCTAATAAACTTGTACGTGCATATTTGACAAGTTTACTTAAACACGTGTGGTCAGCCTAATGGAAATTCACGAATGATAAAAAAAATTTTAAGAAAAGTAATAGGTGTGAATCATCTAATTGTAAGATAAATAGAAGATGAAAATGTTAATTTCACCCCTTCTTGAATTCATATACTGAGAAAAAAAATTATTAACTTGATTAAATATGTTTAGTTCGTATTGATTATTTAGTTCAAGTATTTATATATTTAAGTTAAATACATGTGAATCAATAAAACTTTATAATTTTAAACATGTTATTTGTTTGAATTAACAATTTATTTGCTTGACAGTCCATAACTGTTGCGTTTAGTTGAATGAATTAATATTTTTTTGAAACAGCAATTTTTTTTCCTCAGAGTATTATTATTAAGAAAATTATTCTGTTTACTTCTTTTTTTTTAATAACTTCAGTGATTAAGATAAATTATTTCCTTTTAATTTCCTTCATTTTTTTTATCTTTAATAAAAAAATTAATTTTTAAAGAATAAATTCTTTCTCTCTATCTCTTTTATTTTTTTCTTGCATTCATTTGTATGTATTTTAGAACAACTCTACTCACTTCAAACTTAATTTTTATCTCATTTTTATATTCTTTCGCTTTGGCACTTCGGACCACTTTGTAATCTGGTCTTACGTACCTTATTCTTTTTTTTATTTATTTTAATTATGTATTTATTTTTATCAAAGCGCTTGATGGGACTTTCATCCCAAAATACTCAATACATGATAATTTCCCTCTTCTCTCTCTCTCTCTCTCTCTCTCTCTCTCTCTCTCTCTCTTCCTTTCTTTCTTTCTTTTTTAATACGCTGCAAGAAAATCTCATTTATTTCCTTTAAAGTTCTTTTTATTGCAAAGGCATCAATGATAATTTGAATACTTCACAGTAGCGAAATTGTACCACGAAATGTGATAAACGCGGGAACTCAACATTTGGCCACTTTGTTCTACAATATCATGCTTAATCGGAACTAATCGTGCGTAATCCGCGCTGCACGATTTAATCCGTTCGCGCCAATCATACTCGTCATCGCCGGCAAATACTTCACGGAAAGCGAAATCGTCCATACGAGAAAATTACAAAGACACGTAACTTCATTCCACGAACAGGATTGCAGAAGACTCGCGATGCATCGCTGGACAAACACCCGGGACACTACGAAGCCAAAGGCCAAGGTAATGTGGGTGAAATCCGATGCTATGCGAGAAAGAAATTTATGGCGACGATTAAGGCGTGGGAATATTAAACAAATCATCAAAGCTTGTTGTTACGTTTCTGAAGAATAAGGAAACAGATATACATTTATATTCAGATAACTCTTACCTTTTTGGCATTTTTATAATGAATCCGTAACTAACAGTCACATCATCTATCCTATGAAACATTATTTCATTTAATTAAAAAATACAAAACAATAATTGAACCAAATCGATTATATTCTTTATGATTAGTCCGTTAAATTTTATTATGTTCGACATCTTTTCTGATAAAAACATGAATTTTTATTTCACTAATAAAATAGTACAGTTACTGACTTTATAGTCATCCATTTGTATGTAAAAATGTTTTTTCTTCTTTCACGAATTCATGAACATACACTGTAAAAAAATAAAATGTTAATTTTAACTTAAAGACGTTTAGTGGATTATCAGTCTAAGACACACAAAAATGTTAAAATTAACACAAGAATGTTAATTTTAACATTTTTACATATCCCAGAAAATCCATTATACGTTTCTTTAAATTAAAATTAACATTTTATTTTTTACAATGCAATAACTATAATTTTGAAGAATAGATAATAGAGAGATCTATATCAATGATTACTAAATTTAATTTGTTAGTACAGATTTATTTATTACGAATTTAATTTTATTATTTATTAGATATAAATAAATATAATTGTAAATGAAATATATAATTTTAATTTTATTATTGAACATCCTCTCTCCTTCTGTAATATAATTGTCTGACAATAGGATGGTTATATTTTGTTTTTGCAGATGTTTTACGATTAGAAAAATAGGTGCATTAAGTGGTGACTCGACCCATAAAGTCAAAATAACACTATCTAAATTCACATTCTTTTACATCACATTACATTGCGTAACATATAGAGACATTATGTGATTAAATACGCAAAACACCGGAAAAAAAATATAAAATGCAAAGAAACCTTCAATCACCTTTTTTTAATGGAGACATTTTATTTTAAAAATTAATAATTTTGTATATAATAATTAATTTCCAAAATAAACTATTTCAATTAAAAAATGACTTTGATATACAAGTTCTGTTTTCCATTTCCACTGAAAAACAAGTGATTTTACAACAAACAACAATAATTATTGCACTTTTCATAAAATAATCACTTATCTTTTAATGAAAATAGTGACAAACAGGACTTGGATTTCTCTACATCAAAGTCACCCAAACAATCCACTAGATCTATTGCTTGTTCGCAATCAGTGTGAAATCTGAGTGCCTCAAGTACCTTTATAGACGATGGAAACAATCGTCTTGGCATGCCGGCAAACAGCACGCGGTCTTTTTCGGTGAAAGAGAGAAAGTCGAGTTTACCTCTGTCACGAGAGTGCTATCGTAGTCCCTGGTGTCGTAGTTCCATCCGTATCGGCATTTGACGACCGGCCAGTCGGAGTTACTGACCGGTGGCGATGGCAATCGGGTTGACGGTAAGTCAAACGACGGAGATGTGATCAGTGACGGGCTATCGGTGGTGTTGGACAGATTGGCGCCTTCGAGCCACAAATCTATTATCTCCGTGTAGTTCACGTCATACATATGACACTTGGAATAAATCCTCCTGCCATCGGACTTGACCGTGTAGGGTAATGAGAGTGCCTTCCTCTCCTCCAACGACATCAGATCCGTCATGTTTTCCAGTTCCGGTATCCTGCACCAGTGCTCTGGCGAGGCGCTCACGAACACCTATCTCGAAATCGCGAGTCTTAATTAAGATTAATTATTCGGACTTGCGCGTCATTTTTGCATCTGCCCTTTACCGCTTGTAGTATTGCTAATTTAACAATTCGATTTTTATTACTACAAGTTCGGCTTTTTAGTAAACTGTGTGTAAGACTCAACATGTTTAATACTTTCCATGTTTTGTAAATTTTAATGTTATGAATGGACAAATTTTTTTAATTCATTAATTTGTTTTTGTATATTTCATTAAGTTAAAACTTAAATTGTTGTAAAATTTCTTTACGCTCAAACAGCAGCAGTAAACTCTTCAGATAAATTTTATTTATCTGTGAGAATATTGTATACATAATTTAATTAATATTACTGTATTAATGTATTTATCATATGATCAATATATTTTAATTTATCAACAAAAGTATCCATATATTTATTACGTTATTTATTACAAATGTGCGATGTTTTTTAAAGATAAAAATATCTTTAAAATTTGTATTTTATAAAGAACAAAACTTATTTCGCGTCGTAAATTTTTTTGCAAAATGTTACTATTGCTCTTGGTGCTTCCTAAAAGTAAATTTAAAAAAAAAGCAGCCAGAAAGGACCAAATAAATAGTTGTAAAAGATTGCAATACTACTTTCTAGTTGCTTTCTTTTTTAAATTTGTTTTGCAAAAAAGAAGCCGCGCGCGATATATATTTCCAAATTATACTTTCTAAAACTTTTAAAGTGAATCTCACTTCACTCTGAACAATTAAATTTTACTCTTAAAGATTGAAAATCGAGCCACTCTTTTTCAAGAATTGCTCAACTTTCGTTCTTCAGGTGAGACTTTACTGTAAAGAATTTAGAGAGCATTTAGAGAGTTTATTCAATGCATTGCAACCTTCATCTCGATAATAATTTCCAAAGCTGAGGGCACATCTCTGAAGCGACATCAGACAACGTGCTTACTTGTGAGAACGCCAAGAAGGCGGCTGGCAGGGTGGCGGGTATGCATAGCAAGTAGTACATGATGTTCTGGTATCGGCCCTTCTCTCCCACGTGTAGCAGCACCTCATCAAAGTCGATCGAGCTCATCTTTCCGGCGATACCGCGACTCTGCCGTATCTCAACAGTTTGATCACGACAGTGTGAACGATCACCACGGCGACGGCGGCGACGACGACGACGATCGTGCACGATGCGACGGTGGTGTGGTACACCTTCGAATTACACGGCATGACCGCCGTCGCTCATCCTCGAAGGCAGCCACGCCGAATTACGAACGCACGTTTCTCGCCCCCTTCGTCCGAGATCACGCACCGAGGAATCCTCCTCCTCCTTGGTACTGTCTACCCTCCCTCGTCTCCACCACCCCCCGCCTCCTCCTCCACCTCCTCCTTTTTCTCCTCGTTCTCTCGTCTTCCTGTTGAACCACTATCTTCCTCCGATGTACCCCCGAGTCTGTTGAATTGAGCTGTTTCGACAGCGATGGGTTTTCCACGATTCAGACGCGTGCTACAACGCACGTCTTCAGGTACACTGAGCTCAAGGTCGCGCACGGTATCACCAAGATCACTACTACTATTGAACTTAATGAGTTGAACTTAATCGCGGTTGATCGGGTCCGAGATGTGCATCTGGCTGCAATAACCACGTTGCACTTCATATCTCATGTCGCATAAATTTCGTTAGTTTGACTCAACAACGTAACGAAGCTCACCTTAGAAAGCTCATCGAAAGCGTCAAGTTGATCGTGATCAGTTTGGTCTTCAATCGCGAGGACTCGACGAAAGGAAGGAAATTGATAAGAAGGAGAGCGATAGTCGCTCAACTGTCAAGTGGTCTGATCCCAGTCGATCCTTTTCACTTACGACGAGCCCCCTCGCGCTCTCACCGTTGTCTCGAGAGGATTGAGTTAGTCTCTTGCTTTTCAACAACCCTCCCGCGAAAATCGCTTTGCGACTGTTCACCACATTCTTCTCGCGGTAATATAAGGGGATTATCTTGAACGATCACCCCGAGTAGTCTCAAGTGTCATCGAAAGTCGCACCCGCGGTTTAAAGTCCTGTAATCGATCACGCAAATAACCTCTGGAGATTCGATTCACTTGATCGCGGCACTCGTTGCAGCGCTCATTCACTCCTGACTGTTTACGGAAGTGTCCGATTGACGGACACGCCGTTTTTCTCCCTCTCTCTCTCTCTCTCTCTCTCTCTCTCTCCTTCTTTCTCTCTCTTTGTCAACGTGCATGCACGTTTATTAACGAACGCGCGTACTCCTGCACTCGTCGCAGCTCACCGTAATTGAACACTTTTCGACACCGCTCGCGGCTCACTCGCGACAACGCAGCGGCTCCTCGTTTCGCGGCTCGAGGGACCGTCCCTTCATTCTCGTTCACGCACCGCGTCCGCCCACCACGTCACGATCACGATCACGAGCGCGTAGATCCCGCGTGGATCCAGCCGCTGCGGACAGCAGCAGCGTTAACGTCGTCGTCCTCGCGATAGAGCGGCTCATACGCCGCGGGCATCGCGGCTACGACGATCAGCCATTGCCGGAGAAGATCTCTCTTCTGACTCTACCGAACATCATCTTCGTCGGAGTCTCTCCACCTCCTCTCTCAGCTGATCGAGAGCCGCCGCCGTCGCCGCAGTCTCCGAACGCTCGTCCGCCTCGCCGCTTCTCCGTCCTTCTCTCTTTCTCTCTTCCTCTTTCTGCAAACGAAATTCCCTTCGTAGTATATGCTATTGTCTATCGTAAGTACTCCGCTGCTCGTTAGCTTTCGTGTGCAACGCGACAGAGATCACGAGCGATCTCAGATATATAGCGCCGATGGATGTAAGGATCGCGTCTTTTCCAGAAAGTATGTTATGTTCAAACTTGATATTGCTTAAACCAATAAATATCATAAATATCGAACGCCAGTGAAATTAGTTCTTGGAGACTAGAATTTTTTTCTATTTTTCTTCTAGAAAATAATAAAATCTTTTATTGATAAGCTTGTATAGGTTTCGAAGATATTCACGATTTGTCTTTTCTCTGCTCGGCTAACGATACGATTCTTATTATTTAAAACTTTTGGAGTGCATTTTACTCCGAGGAATAAAATCTCACTCTTAAAAATTGAAAACTGAGTCACTCTTTTTAAAGACTGGCTCAATTTCCACTCTTTAGAGTGAGATTCCATTTCTAAGAATTTGAGAGCATTAGGTTATCATAAAAACTTATCGTTTTCTTTTGCTTCAAACTTTGTTAACTGAACGACACAATTGATTAGTAATATAGAAAAGTATATATAGAAATCATCCTATCATATTTCTTATATCTTTATAAAAACTTCATGATGCCACGTTCCCTAGTTTAATTTATCGGCAAAATATGGTTGAGCTTATTTTTTTCACGTCGTTCAACACGTTAAATTTTTTATTATGAAGAGAATTTTAAAGAAAAGAACAAATAGTAGAAGGGGCAATAGTTAGAAGGGGCCAAGTCTCCAAAGAATAAGAAGAATAGAGTAAAACAATCTCATCAAATGCCAGCAACTTGTTTCGAACGGCCAAAGAAACGCAATTGAAGTCTCTTCAATTTCGGTAAATTGTGTCGTTCACGAAGTAAAAAGAAACGAAATGAATTTTTGGAACAACTTAATACAACGTTGGAATTTCGTAGAATTCATTATTCATGATATTAATGCTTCTATTCTCTATTCTAATTATTCTTTTTCTACTAATCAAATATTCTTATTTTTGTAAACTCTTACTTTTTTTAGCCTTTTAAATTCATGTGATCACTTCCTCAAAGTTTCAATCTTCAAGATTTATGTACAGATGTAGGGTCTCGAAATTCGCGAATCAAAATATCATAGTAAAAAGGTTCTCGAAAATATTAAAAAGTATTTTTTTCCGAGCAATACTTTTTGAGAGATAAATATGCAAAAGTAGTCAATTACAGATTATAGTTAAACGGCGATCCATGAGTCATCACACACAATGACTGACTATCGATGCACGACTGTGAGTTACACATCGATAGTTAATGATCGCACGTGGCGACCCACATTATTATTGGTGTAGGCAAAAACGCCTTCCAACAAAGATGGTGCGTATCTCTTATTATGTTCGTAACATGTTGTGTTATTGTACTATTTTCAGCATTGAGATATGCGAATCTCGCTTGCTCGACACGAGAATAATTGCGCATTCTTATTTTCTCTTCAAATCCTTCTTCCCCAGAAAAGTGTTTTTTGTCTTTTTCGCAAAGTATATTGAAAAACCCTTTGAAAAAAATAAAAGATATTACTATTACTATTATTATTATTATTATTATTATTATTATTATTATTATCATTATTAGTAAATAGAAATCGAAGTTCGAGTTGAAAATTAATCAAAATGAATCATCAAAATGAATTTAAAAAACTACAATATGGAATGTTGAATATATACCTATAAAGATATACGTCGTTTCTGTATAATCATTAATTAAAACTAATTGAGATTTAATTAAATCTCTGTTTAATTAACTCGAATTAAAATGGTTGTGGGAATGATTTAGCATGAATTATTTTAATACATGCAAATATATTCCTCTGGAAGGTGAAATGTCAAGCACTGTACTAAGTACACATAACGATAACCAGAATAAGGAAGCGCTTATTGCAACTAGTTCTACAAAAAGCAGCTTCTATCGAATGATGAGAATAACAAGTAATGTTTGAAATTTACGTCATCTGATGCAGGCTACGATAAGTAGAGGAGTAAGTATAAATGTATTTCGTTGTTTGTTTCCAGTATGTTTATAAATTATGATCATCCGGTGCGATTGCGACGAATTATCTGTTACACGATTTTCTATTTTCCCACACAAAAATTTCCATAAGCGCGACATTATATTGTTTGTGTACTTAAAATAATTGCCCAGCTATATCTATTAATGATGTAAAAAAGTTGTGTATGTCACGATTTAGCATTGTGCTTCGCACCTTGTAATCTGTCTCTATTGCATCTATTTCTCTCAATATTATCTCATTTTTTTTAATATTAAAATACATAATAACATACAACTAAAAAAATTTCCGATAATGCAAGATAGAATATCTTCATTAAAAATGCAAATATCTTAACAGTTCTCGATGTAATTATACAAAATAATACAAAATGTCCCAAAACTGATAATATTTATGATGATAAATATTTTAAAGACAGATTCTTTGTAACATTTTAAAACGAAAAGTTTAATACAAAAGTGTTGAAGCTAAAATAGTTTTCAAATGGAAAGAGTTTAAAAATTATGAATGACAGAGAGGGCTAGAATTTTGCGCGGTCAGCGATGATTAATATAAAAGTGCTTCCTCGAGTACCATTTTCTGTATGAATACCTGAATATACCTATAATAAGCTTTCTTTTGTCTAAGAATTCTTTGACTTACAATTAGAGATAGTAGATATTTAAGGCAGCGAAACATAACAAAATGAATGAAATGATCGCACATGCAAGTTATGGCTAGATAAGGCTGTTAATGGCATATGCCCCCACGTGCTTGCTGATAAATTAATATCGTCACGAAATCGTCGATAATCGAGCTTGCAGCACATGTCTATCTTCTTCTCAAAGAAGTCTTTTCTTAACAAACGATGATAACGCGCACAGAATTAGAATGTTGCCAAGATTTTATTTACTGTCTCATGGAAACAACCTATCTGATTTTGTTAAAGTGTGGCGTGATCATGCGTAAGCAATTTGAGAAAGTTTCGATGATACGAAATGTTAATATTTGTTATTTTATCTGAAGGAATCAACAGCAGTCAACTGATAATGCATTTTTCCTGTAAAATAATACCTTCGTATTTGTGGAATTTGTGCAGCTGATATTGCTCTGATAATGATACTAAAATAACTGATATTGTCATTATCATAATATTTATTGTATCGCAAATGTTATGTCTTAACGTAAATAATGTTACGCTTTGGAATTACAATAGCAAATAAATCTCTTCTCTTTAACAATAAATCAAAGTATATTTAGTTAGCTTTAAACGAAAAGAAATCTCTTAGAATTTGGATCAAGTCCCTGATTCTTGTGCAAAATTTTTATTTCGATTTTTACCATGATATAATTTTACAATTTAACAAAATAATTTATTGTCAATGCAATAATCAATATTAATAATTCAATAATTTAATCGACAACTTCTATAAACTTTTTTAAATAAAATTATAAATATTATTTAAAATAAAACATTTATTTTTA